TAGAAACCAACATCGTGAATTTCAGATTGAGTTCTTGCACTAACGCGTGTCATCTACCAGTATATTTCTTGCTTTTGGCATACTTTATTTTGGACATTGACCCCTCTCATATTTCATAACGATTTATGCTATTTTATTCAAAACGTGAATATGTTTTGATAAGAGTATAACAGGAAAAGAGTAATATAAAGGTAATTAGCTAGTGCTTAAATAATTGTCTTGCAAAGTTCGATTTTGTTTCATGGTTTTAACATTAAAATATAAACCTCTTGAAACTTACTATTGCTAGTATTTCACGGTTGCTATAGCTTACCCACAATATAATGGACTAAACTCCCCAAGCAGTACCACTATAACAAGCAAAGTTCTCAAGTTGTGCTTAATAACCAAAGTGAGGGCGAGATGGGTATCAGCAACCATCACTAACTTGGTTAAAATAACCCTCTCCCCCTTCTCACACCCCCGATCTTCCAGTAAATAGAGGAAGATAATAGATGTAAATAGAGGCCTACTTTATAAAACAGCACTTGCCAATTTGTCTTAGTAGCAAAATGGACCTATTGTTGGTCACATTTTTCACTGCGTTTAAACATTTTGTATAATACAGGCTTAGTGATATAGTTTATATTTGGTGATATAAACATACTTTTTAGCGGTTTTCCTATAATATAGCCTAACAACCAAGATACAACCGTAGGTTTCAGGGTAAGACCTAGATCCAAGGTATCCAAGGTAGGTAATGTATGATATTTGAATTTTACCGATCCTATTAAAACCTTGGATAAAAGATCTTATTTGTTTATGCTAATTTGAGCTATAATCAGTGCAGTAACAATAGATCTACCTGCTTTTAAAATTAAATGTTTGCTGTGCGTAAAAGTTAAACTTTACTAGAAAAAGCCATCTTACCCTTAGGTATTTTATATCCTGACCGTTTAAATCAAGAAAAAAACATATCGTGAAAATAGTTATATCATACAATATTTATATGTGTTGAATGTGTAGTTATATATAGTTATAGTTGTATAGTTATATGGGATAAGACAATTGGTATGTACAAAAAATAATACACGTAGTTGGTGCAGGTTCCATTTTGAATCCTTTAAACTTATATTATATAAACATACTTTTTTTAAGACCGTCCTTGTTTTAGACAGTGCGAACTCGCAACATGACAGCCTAGCGATATAAAAGCTATTTATGATATGAAATGTAGTTTTAGACCAAAAATGTTAACTATATTTTAGCAATTAGAGTTTAAAATGGACACAAAAACACTTCCCGAAAAAGATTTTGCTTAGCACTTTGAAACATATAACGTGATAATATTTTTAACATATAATATAGTGGCAAATAAAACAATGCATAATGCTACGTAGATATTTGAAATAAGTTTTTTTTATACACAAAACTTGTATTAAATAAATGAATTCACGGCCAAGTGATAAAAGAAAGTGTTTGTAGTGAGGTATTTGAAGCCACATTTGGCTTGTGGCCACCCGCACTTAAGCTCAGTTACTGGCAAAATAGTCTGTTTTATTTCCAGTTTGCAGTTTCCTACCCACATGGGTACCTTGGAGAGTTTCCAACTTTAATGTTTTCCATGTTCTTTAAACATTCCGTGTGCACCTTTACTTTTGACGATTCAACTAAGCCTGTTGTCAAATATGGGAATTTCAATATTAAGTGAACACATAGAACGTGTTTTTATCATTATCAACATACAAAATATTTTTCTCTTCTTTTAGATATGCATTGAAATAATTATAATCCTACGTTTATGGTCATGAAATAATATTTATAGAGTCAAAGTTTTAAAATGGTATAATACATCGAATACAATTGTTTTGTTAAATAACCAACCATTGTTTGGGTTGGCGACATTTTTGTTTCCCTACAAAATTATGAATAACAAAGTCGTATACCGTATCATGTGTACCTTTGCTACTGACTACGACTAATGGTTCATAACCAGATATATTAGAAACGCAAATGATCAAGGAGAGCTGGAACCACTTTCGTCATGATAATGTATTTTAAAAGATAAAACCGTCAACCTTTGGATTGTAATTCGAGCACTACAAGTATAAAATCAACCTGTATGACTTATAGTCGAAGGGGGTCTGAAATACGCAGATAGATTTCCTGTCACAGAACACATTTAAAGCTTTCAGTGTATATTTATTTATCTTTGACAAAAGGTATTATCACTTTGAGAATATCTATGGTGTTAAGTTATAGAAGAAGTAGAGACCAATGACGGAAGTATAGTGCTCCTTAAATACAACCAACCACTTTTCGACAATAAAATTCTCTTTTCATGTATTTTTATCTGTTCGAATTTTTAGATAAGCCTATTAATAAGGTTTTATGTAACAAATCACTACATTTAAAGGAATTTGCAACAATACCGCATTTGAATACCCCAGCAGTGTCTTTGTGATCAGTGTGTTGATGGCTCCAGCCTAAACTACCTTTATTAATATACCGGAAGTTTGAAAAAAATTCAAGTAATTAAATTAAATGTTCTTATTTATCTTAAAAACTAGATGGCCTGTGCGGAATATTATAGGTAAATTTGTGCTCTCTTAATTTTTTTTCCTAATTTCTTAACTACAGCTAAGGAGAAAAATATTAAATAATAGTTAAAAGTTATATACCACTGAGCAACTTAACTAAACTCAGCAATACAGCTTGAGAAGGAAAGTTATGCAGAGCATTTATTCGAATTCATTTCGAGATTACATTTTACCAGGCTCGTGCTGAAGCAGTCGCTGTTTTTACACGATACAGCGAGTTTCAGATTTACAGTAAATGATTAAATGTAAACACTCCTTGTTTTACAACAGCTCGTTAAAGTGTACGTACACAAATTTCGATGGAAACTTTGCTTAGAATAGTTATTCGCTACCCTAGTTTTTAATTTGTTTGGTTTTTGTTTTACAATTTCAATAAAGTTTTAGTTAGACTTTTTCCAAAGTTTACTTCCTAAATTCATCCCCTATTTACATTAACAATGAACACAATAGTAGAACTTAGCTTATTTCAAAACTGTTAATTACAGTTGACCAGTATTTTAACGCATTGTGTTTTAAATATTATTGTAGACTTGACTTGCACATAGAAGTTTATCTTACTGTGGGACTTGTTATTCTGATTCCATATACGTAGGAATCTCCTACTTGTTTTAGTGCATATTAATTTAAAGAGAAGATAACATCAACAATATTTCCTAGAGACTTATAGCTGTTTGTTAAATGAATTAAATTTTACAGTAAAGACGTACTTGTTTAATGATTTTTGTTTTAAAGTATGTGAATTTTAAAAGTACAAAGTGTAATAAAAACCTTTTGTGAAACCAACATCGTTTTTAAATTGTTTGCATTAGTATGATTTAAATTGTACTTAAGTAATACTCATGCCTTCAAAGAGAAGAATTTTACTATAGGTAAGTATTCACATTCCAATCTCAAAAACACAAAGTTTAAATAATAAATATTCCTATCATATTAGCCAATAACCAGCTATTAACCATGCCCATTGCTTTCGACAGTTATATCCCAAGTAACTTGTATTAAATATTATACTTAAAAATGCATTTATTAAACCCCAAAAAGTCATTTAGAGTAGTTAGAGATTTATAACGAAATATGTATTACAACCAGAGCTTGTTGTGATAATTTTCAGTCTATACAATTAAGTAGCTATGCCTTTTCTAATGAAATACTTACCATTGGGCAAGATATTTACACAGTGAAACAGTAAGCGATACTTGGACAACAGTAAATTTTCATCCTAAACCAACAGTCTGGGATGTCGGTCCCTCTAGATTACACAGCGCGGGACGTAGCTGAACAAACCCCTTATATTCTGAATTCAATAGAAAATAATTTTAAGCTTAGCTAAGTACCTTAGTTGTGTATTGGGATGGTTAAGTGTATTTTGATAACATATAACTGTCAAGTAATACATCAGCTGACATAATATACCGATGCAACTTTTATAAAATAATTAATGAAACTTACATCAGTGACTTACCTATTCAAACTATATTAAAAACATTTTTCCAACTAACATAAACATTTAATTTCCCACTTTCATAAGGAAACTACATCAGCTTAAATAAAAGTCTGTTTTATTATTGTATTGCAACAAATAGCTGGAAAGAATTGTAATCACGATTTCTTTTTCAAACATTTCCATTCGTTAATTTCTGGTTAATTTTCAACCCAATTGAAATAAATATTGTACACAGAATCTATGCTATGACTAAATAGTATAATTGTTTATAACACACATGTATTTACTCATGACAAAATCGTCATGCAATACAATGTTTTCAAACTTTCACACATTTCGTATATAAATGGCTCTCATACATATAGAAATATTAAAGATTTTCGTCAGTCTAAGAATCTCTTATGTATGGGACCATAACCATCTTCTCGTCTATAATGAAAACCACCGCAGGAGTCTCGAAATAGCCTATTACTAAGTTTGCAAAAAATAATTAACAAAACACTGTAAAAATGAATTAACAATTCTGATCTTTGAATATATTCTCCTTATCACAAAAAATCGTGTTTCATAAATTGTTTTGATTTGTTAATTTATCTAATGCAAATTATTGCAGCGAACCTTTTATTTTTGTCTAAAGTTTCGGTTCATAATTAATTCTATGTTCTTGGTTCATTACTGTCACTATTTTTTATTCTGTTTTTATCTACATAAATTGGCATTTTAAAATTTTTTTAAGGATTGGACATTGAACTACGGTCTTGGCATCATCTGACGTCGACCTGTTATATAATACAGCATCATTAGATTATAGCTGAATTAGGTACAAAAAGAGTTGTGTAGAGAACCGACATTGCTAGGAATCGAACCAGAGCCATTTATTTGTGAACACCAAACCCACTGAGTTACTTAAACAACATCTTTCAACAAATTTTACAATTTATTGTACTATTAACATAATGTATAAACATATTTAATCCTACCTTGCAAGGTAATCACTGCAGGCTACCACACAAGGACCACACGTATCGCACGCACTACACACGACGTCACCACGCTACGTACAGTGACGTCACCGGCGGACTGTCCACCGTGTACACACAGCACACACTGCCACTGTACACTGTACAGCGCCGCGACGCTCCAGCCAGCGGCGCGCGCACCACCTCACGCCCGCACGCACACACACCCGCACACGCGCGTAATTGTGTTTACCTTGGTGTAATACAGCGGAGTGTGGCTGCTGCGTGCGTTGTGAATAAGTCAGAATACTCGTCAGGGATATTGGTGAAATTAATACGAGGTGCTTGTTCGTTATAGTTTACGAATCTATTTTTGGATTCGTTATTTTAAAATACAACAATGGTAGAATCCACCCGCACTTACCAGTGTCGTTGGTGAATACAATGTTATTTGTATAAACAAATTCACCAAATCTCAGTCAACAACAAACATAACTTCTGTTCTATTAATTAACCAAAGTCATTGGTAGAATTTGTGGTGGATTTCCAACAATTATCGATAGCCGGTAAACCCATATTTGTAAATTCATCTTTTTAAAATCATACGCAATAGTTTAACTGATCAACGTTTGTTTTTTGGAAATGTTTCCTTATTTGTTATTATTAATTATTATGTTTATTATTCTATTTATTATGTTATTTGTATTTGTTATCATAAACAAAACGATGCAAAACTGAATTAATCTTACTTCATAAAAATTCCACTGCACAAAAAAATTTTCTTCTTAAAAATATCGTATGGCTTAAAATGATGATATATATAATACATACATATGATAGACCTATTATAGTATTTTATCACCTAAAAATGATTAAAAAACCAATATTTGTAGGCCTATATTTAACTGTAACACTCCGCACTGCTCGCTTTTACCACTTCATTCGCCGCTACCTACGTCGTGGACTTGTTTCCCTCCCTTCCCGTAGCATTTTAGTATTGCAGATACATAATTATAAAGACCACAAACGGTTTCCACGCTCCGCGTTGCTCGCCTTGACTACTTCCTTCACCACTTCCTACGTCGTGGACCTGTTTCCCTCCCTTCCCGTAGCATTTTAGTATTGCAGATACATAATTATAAAGACCACAAACGGTTTCCACGCTCCGCGTTGCTCGCCTTGACTACTTCCTTCACCACTTCCTACGTCGTGGACCTGTTTCCCTCCCTTCCCGTAGCATTTTAGTATTGCAGATACATAATTATAAAGACCACAAACGGTTTCCACGCTCCGCGTTGCTCGCCTTGACTACTTCCTTCACCACTTCCTACGTCGTGGACCTGTTTCCCTCCCTTCCCGTATAATTTTAGTATTGCAGATACATAATTCTAAAGACCACAAACGGTTTCCACACTCCGCGTTGCTCGCCTTGACTACTTCCTTCACCACTTCCTACGTCGTGGACCTGTTTCCCTCCCTTCCCGTAGCATTTTAGTATTGCAGATACATAATTCTAAAGACCACAAACGGTTCCCACACTCCGCGTTGCTCGCCTTGACTGCTCCCTTCACCAATTCCTACGACATGGACTTGTTTCCCTCACTTCCCATAGCATTTTAGTAAAATCATTGAATTGAACAATGTAAAAAGCTGCTAAATAGTAAATATATTCATATTTGTCATGTAAAGCTCAGTTTTAATACTGTACATAAACTGTATATAACTGCCTACTAATATTGTAAATGTTGAATATATTATTTTGAAAGTTGTGGAATTATAACGTCATATACTCATAGACGTCACACTGTTTACTCCATGAATGATAGAGTTGAAAGGAAACGTCGTTCTCTTTGTCTAATGTAGACAATAAAATAGTTGGTCGTAAAATGTAAACAAATAAAAATAGAAGAATTAGTAGCTTCCAATGTTATTCTTATGGGACCAATATGAAAATGTATTTTTAGGGTTTTATAATTACTACTGAGTGGATTTGTCTAGAATTTTAATGGTATCTTCACAGTGGTGTCAAAATTATTTGTGCAAAATTTGAACGCTATTAGTGCAGCAGAAACTCAGACAAGCGGACAACCTAATCTCCGACTCCGCTATATACGATACATAGATTATCTATTAATGCGTTGCACATTTAAATTATAAATTGTAAGAATATTGGTTACAAATACAGTACAAACATGAAGTGTGCGATATTTGTATGGTAAATTTTAAAAAGAATTATGGATATTTGCATGGCCTAGTAGTTTATTCGTACATTAACTGAAAGTTCTTTCACCGATTAGCAACTCCCAATTACTTCATTACCATTACAAAGGTATTTTGTAGATTTTTTGTATGACCGTAGTTAAATGAAATGAGTTTATAAAGTATTTATCAGCTTACAGTAAATTACAGATATCTACTTTGCAAACTGTTTCATTATATAATATGTATTATTTCTTCCGTGACTTCATAATTAAAAAATAAAAATAACTCGTCATACAAATATATATATTTAAACTAGTTATTATGTACGACTATTGAAATTAATAATATGAAAGTGAACTAGAGATTAATAAACTTTCGGCTAGACATTGCTAATTGACTTTTAAGATGTAAGTAACCCATTAGAGAGATAAATATTGATGTTTAGGACGTATAAAAACTTTGTGAAAATTGGTAAATTTATCATAACAAATCGTATATAGGCCTATAATAACTTTCTCTGCCCGATAATTGCTTTTGTACCTAAAGTTGCAACAATTATAATTAAAGAAACGTATCGTACTGCTAATAGAAAAATTAGTTAAATAATGTAAACAAATGGAAAATAATTGAAAACAAAATCGCCGAGCAACGCTATTTTCCAACTTCGAGAGACAAAGAAACTTAAAAGTCTAATATTATTTCACCGTAACAGTCCATAAAGTAACACCGAAGTTTAGGCTGTCAGCAGAAAGCGGGAAATGGAATAAAGGATATTGGCTCTTTATTTCTCTTCTTGAGATATAAACAACGTAGCCGCCATATACCCGCTCGCCTCTGGATTTTATGCGTCTACTGTCTAGAAAGGACTATATTTGAGGCAGAGATATGAAAAATAAAATTGTAACTTAATAGGGTCGTTATGAACGCTGGTGCAAGGACGTTGGTTTCTACTATTTAATTGAGTTCGATTTAAAACTGTCTACCTCATCTTTCTATAGAAACATTTTCCAATTTATACTGAGTTGAAGTTTTACTTTTAAAGTATCTAGTAATTTTTATTGTATACGCTAACAGTTACATTTAATAATACTGAGAGTTCATTCAAAACTTATATTTTTGTATGAATAAATTAGTTTTGTATAATAAAATACCTCAACTACATCCTATCCAAACTGTTTTCTTTTCTGTATGATTTTTCTTACAGCTACATTGAAATTCGGATGCAATTTTAAGTGTTTGTTAATCACTTACTTTTATGATGCAAACTAAGGTAAACTATCTTTCCTCGTGTCCTAGTTGAAATAAGCAATTACTCTATATATTAGAATATTCAACCACTATTTAACTTACTACAGTACTTGAAACTCATTAACTCAGTCGATTTCCTCAAATAGTAAGCTTACAATTTAATCGGAACGTCTCTATTACTGATAGATTTAATTTAACTAAAAAAATATTTGTGTAGGTACCTTAATCGTTTTTTCAACAGTATAATAAATCACATGTTTTATGAGAAACATATAGAAACATTCAGTCAGTCCTAGTTGCCCCCATGGATTACAATATAACCGATCAAACTCAAACACTAGACACAGCTCCACTCAGCTGTGCACGAAACAGACCAATATTGACCATGAAGTAATGAGAAACTGAGTTGCAACCAAGCTGTAGTTTATCTACAGCTGTAGTTTTAGGAAATACTTGTGTACTATTTGAAAACAGAGCCAAATCTAGCTTACGCATATGTTTTCATATGATAATTACAAAAAACTGTGAAAACCTTTGTGACTGTTGAAAAAGCACGAAACTATTTTCCAAATGTTTTAGATGATGGGCTCTTCCAACTATTTACTCGCCAAATAGCTCAAGAAATACTTTGGGGAACGGATGAGGAAAACCAAGATGTAAGCCAGTGAAGTCTCAAAATTAATTTTACTGATGACCTTTTTATATGTGGAGGCACCGGGATTCCCAAACCGCGACTCAAAGACGTTGCTGCCAAAACTAATTTAATGATCTACTCCATAAGTGATCAGTAAGGTGGGGAACTGAAGGGTCCAAAAAGGACATAATAAAATAGTTTGCATACAATCCATACAAATATCTAAAAGTAATTAATCTAAAATGACTGCAACGAGCTAAAAGGAAAACAGTAAATCAGATTGCTAGGAAAATGCTGGGATAAAGAATATTGGATCTTTATTTCACTTCTTTCAGACATAAACAACGAAGCCCCAGCGTATAAAACCGGCCGCCCGCCTTTTTTATGAATTTTCTAGTTACAGTAAATAAAGTTTTGGGGAGGGAGAGATTGAACGTAGTTGAAATAAATATGAAATTGGCTGGAAATAATGTGTTTTTACTAAAATTACTATTTAACACAAAAGGATTCAATAGCCTCACCAACTGTAATTTAGTGGCTGAAAAGTAAAAATTGTGTAAACCAAGAAGTTGTGATGATCACCTAGCATTCGGAAAGATGGCTATGTAAACTGGGACCTAGCTGTATCATCACATTGGGACTTTTAATAAACTGTCATAGATAAGAAAACCTCCTGTTTTAGTCTGAAAAAGCTGTCCTATTTTAGTCTTTAAGACTTGTAGTCTTAAAAGTCCTAAGGAAGCTCACTTCATTATCCATTCACGCTGCATTAATATTCAACTCAAAATACGTAAACTAATTTTACCAATTTGATAAACCTTTTAAGAATAAACCTCGAACTAAACCTGTTCTAAATGTCGTTTAATATAAATTTCAAAGACTAATGAACATAACCTGAATCAATATAATTCTTTAAATAAAAGGACTACATCCTAAACAATAATGAAACTTATTACGTAATTCCAGCTCAAGACAGAAGTAGAATTGCGACGGAAAGTTTATTGTTGCGTCCTGCTGCGACAGAACGACTCAGACACAGAAACCGTTTCAAAGAAACATGAACACTCT